CACACACACACACACACACACACACACACACACACACACACACACACTCATTCTCTCTCTCTCTCTCTCTTCTCTCTCTCTCTCTCTTTCTCTCCGCGCCCCCCCTCCCGGAAAAGCAGATGGCTAACGCCTAGGACATTTCTTTGCTACTTTCACAAACCTTCCTAGCACCCTAAGGTTGTGAACAAATTTAAGAGAAAGAAGTTCAGAGTTTAGAGATGGAAATAACTCGATTTTTGGATAAATCGCCATGAGTTTTCATGCTTTGGTATGCTATTTCCTAACCTCTGGCAATAACTGGATTCAAGTTGAAATCAAAGTTTCTCTCTGAAACAATCAGTTTTTCTAAATAGTGAACAAATTTCCTTTAAGCTCTAAGACTGGCATATTCCCCAAACTCTCTGCTATGAAAACCATATTCTATGAAGAGGTACGTGAATCTGAAGATTCTTCACTCAAAGCTTTACTTCAGAAAACCAGACGCAGTCCTGCGGCCGTCTACTTAGGGACTCTCACACTAATCGCTCCACCTAAGGATCCCAATCTCCCCTGGAAGAATCCCTCGACCTAGGGCCCTGATGATCTGTTTCGGTCTTTCCTGTGTTGCTGTCCTCCTCCCTCTCGCAAGCCTCTGCTCATCAGGGTCTGTATGTTTTCAGGCCAGTGGAAATATAATGCCCTGGCCAACTGCCACTCCCAATACAGGAAGAGCCTGTAATGTAGGGAGGTAGAAATCTAGCCAGTGACCCAGGGCTCCTGAAGAGAGGTCATTCAAGCCAATGCCTGCCAGAAGTGGCCACAAACGGTGGTGCATGCCTGGAGCTCCTCTGGCAACAGGAACAAACCACAGCTGAAGTCCTCAGAAATAAAAAGCAAATTTGAACTTGGTGCTAGAGAGAGAAACCAGGCACACGGGCCTTAGGGCCATGCCGAACAATTCGTGGTCAGCAGAGTATCTTTCATCCATCCTCAACGCCCCCCCACCCTCAAAAACAAACAAACTGATTGTGATACACTGTGGGGTGGGGTGAGGGAGAGCTCCAGCCTGGATTAATAAATAGCTTCTGGAAAGCCACAGGGAAGGGAATCCTCCTCAAAAGATACAAAACCGTTTCAAGTCCTAGGGAAAGGTGCTTCTACTCTCACCTGAACCTTTCCCCGCTGAGCAGTACCTTCCTCAGGTCAGAAACCTCCAGAGCTTTCTGGCCTCCTGGCAATCTTCATTCCTTGCCCTTGGAGGCAACTCCTATGACTTACCTCCTAGTACCCAGAAGTCATGCCACAGTTATGGGTCAATTACAGTTTATACTCCAGTGCCCTTCTCTGCTGAGCTGCCCTAATTTTCATTGGCACAAAACATGCCAGGCTTTCTTCCCCCCACATGCCATTTCAAATGCCACTGCCACCACCCAACAACAACAACAAAACAACCAAAACACACTCTTTCACCCCCCCTCTAAAATATTTCAGAACCATTAAAACTCTTGGTCAGTTTGGAATGGCAGAGAGTGATATGTTTGAGGCTGGACTGGATCCATTTTTCCCCATGGGCTATAACAAAGGTTTCATTTTAAATCTTGACACTGTGCAGCACTCTTTCTGGTGGAGGTGGGGAGGGGGGCTAGCACTTCTCGTTACGAGAATAGCAGAGTTCACTCTGCTTGAAAAGCAGCCACACTGGGCAAGTTTCAGAGCCATGTGTCTCCGTGTTGAAAGGCGGTAGAGAGCCAGCACAGAACGACATGACAGAAGTGTCACGTGGGACAGTCTTGCTTCGAGGCTGTGTCTGAGGAAGCCTCTTCCCTGGATGGGAATTGAAACAGATCCATTAACACTCCCTAGGTCAGAATGAAGTCTCAAAAGAGCACCAGGCCAAATGTCCACATCTTCTTTTTTTCGAAAGTTTTAAAAAAAAAAAATCCCCCGTTCGCCTTTCAACTAGTTCAACATGATTAAAACAGAAGAAAAAAAAAATCAAATGCATAAGTTAGAGTAACTTCAATTCTGAGATATGAGGAAAGATGGCATTCTCAGACAAAAATCAGTTTTGTTAGGCCACAACTGAAGGACACACAGATAAAAGATTCTTCCTCAGAGCTCAATAACAGCGTTTCTGGTGCCCAGTTTCGTAACCAAAATGATGTCTGTTTTTGGCCTCAAGTTACCTGTAAGTAGTTTTCTTTCTTTCTCTTCCCTCCACCCCATATTGCAGAACGAAAATTATACCAAAACTGAGATAATGACAGTATACAATTTGTTTAGGAAAAAACCCACAAAATAAAATTATGGTTTTTATGGCTACATGTGTAAGTATGTAAATATAGTAAAAAGGTCTGGAAGAATACATAACCTGATGTCCGGCATTATCTCTTTGGAAGGCACAGGGGTTGGGGGAGAGTTGAAAGAAATTTTAGAAAAGAATGTTATACTTTTATAAGGAGATTTTATACATTACTTATGTAATAACTGTAAAAGTTTTAGGCAAGAAGCAGCAGCAGTAGTAGCAGCAGAGGAAGAGGAGAGAAAGCATAAAAAAACGGCAATTTATAACAGCCAAAAACTGGAAGCATCCTAAAACGCCCAACAACAGCCGATGATGAAAACGGCACATCCATACAACTGAATTCTATTTTTTAAAAGCTGTATTAGATTTTTTAATCATGTGGGAGAAAGTCCAACATATATTAAATGTGGACAGTTTTAAAGTAGTTTAACGCGATCCCTTTTTATACATATTTGTAAAAAATAAATAAGAAAATGTGTGTGCGTGATGTATAGAAAAGAAGATAAAATATACACCAAGTGTTAGTGGTAGATAGTCATCTCTGGATAGTGAGAATAATTTTTTATTTCTTCTTGTTGCTGGGTTTTCTAAATATTTTACAATAAGCACTGTATATAGTAAAAAGATTTCCCCTACAATGAATACTTCTGGCTTTTGTGTATAATACATTTATAATTTTAAAAAAAATCAAGACACAAACATTATATTCTTAACAATTCAGAGTCCAAAATAAACATGAGCCTTTGAATTCCAAGAGATCTTGAAGCTGTGCAAATAGCATGACTCGGCAAGCAAGTAAAAACTAAAGTGGTAACTTCAACCTAGGCTACAATGGGAAGCAAAATTATTCTGTTTGTCACAAATCAAAAGTCTACAGGCTGCCGGCTTCCCGACCTCTCTCAGAGGAGTCTGAGCACAGGTCTGATCTGCCTCTCCCGGGGAAAGCCAGTGTCTGTCAGGAGCCACACGGCACCCTGACCTATTCCCCTTCCTGAGCCTGAGAGGATTCCGGCCCCATCCTTTAAAGCTGCAGAAGGTACGGTCACTTTCAGGATACTGGCTGGCTAAAGTGACTGCTTTCTGAAGTGATCTCCAGAGATACCTTGTCTCATTTGAATGGCAGTTTCAAGAAACCAGTCTTTCAGACAATACTGGGACCTAGACCCGTGAGTGACTCAGATAGTGACTAACGGGGCAGGACCCAACCTCTCATATGCTGGGGAACACAGCTGGGCCAGACAACATTCTCTGCAGACAAGAATCAGGCTCCCTAACTTTTCTTAACATCTTAATTTTTAAAAACTGAACAAGATAGGAGCGAACCAGTAGCAAAAAACAAAACAAAACAACTAAGCCGTATGACAGGGTAACAATGAGGGGAAAAAAAATCATAGTGCTACAGAACATAAGGACTGGAACAGACCTTGGAGATCATCTATTTAAACTACTGATAAGGAAACCAGAGCCCACAGAGGCTCTGACTTGTTCCCTCTCGAGGTCTTAGAACTAGTCAGCGGAGAAAAACAAACTCTTTTTGGCACTTGATTCCATCTAACACTCCGCACCTCTTTTTCGCTGGTTGCTGAGAGGAAGGAGACCAGCGTGGCACACATTAGGCCCTCAAGCATACGCGGATGCAACGGAGAACACGGGGCACGGACAAGACGAAGACTGGGAGAGCCACGGGGGGCTTTTCTCAGCAGGCAGGCGGGACAGTGGATGTGTCTTCAGCTGCTCCCCATTACAATCTCCTCTCTCTTAATTCGTTTTCAACGCCTCCCACATTTCACATCTTCTTGGTAATTAGGCAGCAGTCCATGTTGTTGTGTGTGGCTCGGGCTCATTGCTTTTCTAGTCTTACAGACTTCTATACTTCTTTTTTTCCAATAGAAAAATTATTGCTGTTTCTGCCTTCCAGAATAAATATGGGGCTCAATTCTCTTTTTACCTCTAGGAGAGCACAAGAGGAATACTCACCGAGGGGCTGGGGTGCCTAGAATTTACATATATTTTCCTCATATGAACACTACGACGACTCACTGTTCATGAGGGTGCAACTAGACTGGCCTTATCTTTTTGCCAACAGAATATGTTATATGCAGGAATGGAAGAGATCTTGAAAAATAATCTGGACCACAGCAAACCACCTCTGACAAATGAGATAATCTATTCGCTCGCAAAGGCTTCCGGAGAAGAAAATTCCTGAACGTCTTCCCTCTGTGAAATCTTCTTACACCTAACCCAAACCTCTCCAGCTGCAACATAAGCCTATTTTATTTTTCTCTTGCTGTCATCCAAAAGAAGTCAAAACTATTTGGTTATGACCCTAATATTTAAACACAGTTAGGGTACCCCCAACAGCTGTCTCCAAATAAAACTTTTTTTACCTTTTTTTTTTTTTTTTTTTTGCGGTATGCGGGCCTCTCACTCTTGTGGCCTCTCCCGCTGTGGAGCACAGGCTCTGGACGCGCAGGCTCAGCGGCCATGGCTCACGGGCCCAGCCGCTCCGCGGCAGGTGGGATCTTCCCAGACCAGGGCATGAACCCGCGTCCCCTGCATCGGCAGGCGAACTCTCAACCACTGCACTACCAGGGAAGCCCTACTTTATTTTTTTAAAGATTAATTTGTCCTCTCAGAAATCAATTTCTAGCTTTTTAATCATTATTGTGATCCTTTCTCAAACTTCCTTCAAAATATCTAAATATGAGAGTTTTAAAAAGGGGAAAAAATAAGGTTCTAACTAATGCTTAACCTGATTTAAAAATATATATATATGTGTGTGTGTGTGTATATATATATATGTATATGTATATATATAAGTATGTGTGTGTGTGTGAGAGAGAGAGAGAGATATATATATATATATATATACACACACACACACACACACACACACACACACACACATATATCTCCTAAACATTCGTATACTCTGGACCAAGATTTATAACTTTTTTAGTCCCAAGAGTCTCTAACAGAGCTAAGAAATACCTAGGGCAGTGGTTCTCAACCAGGAGCAATTTTGCACTGCGGGGAACATTTGGCAATGTCTAGAGACATTTTTAATTGTCATAACTGGGGGTGAAGAGAAGGAATGCTACTGGCATGTAGTGGGTAGAAGCCTGGGATGCTGTTAAACATCCTACACAGGACAGCCCCTACAACAAAGAATTATAAGGTTCAAAATATTAACAGTACAGAGGTTGAGAAATCCTGACTTAGAGCAAACATGAGGTACATAAAAAGTTAAAGAACAAACACAGGAAAAAGAAAAAAGGAGAAAATACTGACTAGAAAGGTAGTAAGGGGAAAAAAAGATTTTTTAAATGAGAATTTTAAAAGAAATAAAGAGATAAGGAACCATAGCACCTACTTTAAGTGCAGTACAGTGGTATTTCTGATATGATGTGCTATTTTATGAAATAATATCTTCTTATTATAAGATAATAATCCTGAAACTGCACCTTTACATTACTCACTACTGACTGGCCTACGACGACCCATAGAATACTAGATCCTGCTCTCCAGTCTTTCACAATCTACCCATTTCTTGTAATAATTCACTTATTCCTACAACAAATATTTACTGAGCACCTACTACATGCCAGGCACTAGAGATACAACAGTCTTAAGCAAAAACTCCTGCCAGAGTAGAGCTGACATGGGGGTGGGGTGAGGGGTTGCTACTGATGCACCTAGTTTACTTTGCTGAGTAAATCACTTCACACTTATTTCTGCTAGAAGAGATGCATCTATTGGCACTACTCCAAGTTTCCCAAGTCATTTCAAAATCAAGACTATAGCCATCCCTGTCACTCTTGCCCAGGCTGATGACAAATGAATATGTAAAAGGTACAGTGTCTAGTTTACCATCCACAAACAGTGTTTCTTCAAGCAGGACAAAGCTTTTCAGCTTCTCCCACTAAGGAAACCTTCTAGAGCATTACAGATACACTTACAAGGTTATGACAGAAAGTGAAAGGGAGAGGCTTCCCTGGTGGCACAGTGGTTAAGAATCTGCCTGCCAATACAGGGTACATGGGTTCGAGCCCTGGTCCAGGAAGATCCCACATGCTGCGGAGCAACTAAGCCCATGCGCCACAACTACTGAGCCTGCACTCTAGAGCCTGCGAGCCATGACTACTGAGCCCACGCGCCACAAGTACTGAAACCCGCATGCCTAGAGCCCGTGCTCTGCAACAAGAGAAGCCACTGCAATGAGAAGCCCACGCACCGCAACAAAGAATAGCTCCTGCTGACCACAACTAGAGAAAGCCCGCACGCAGCAACAAAGACCCAACACAGCCAAAAAAATAAATTAAAATCTTAAAAAAAAGAAAGTGAAAGGCAAACACTGACAACAACTGGGGGAACTATAATCCAAAGCAAATCACCTCAAAGGGTAGTTCACAATAAAACCTCCAACTCAGAAAATATTAAAATGCAGAGACGACCTGAGGGCACTGCCACCCGTTCCTCTCCTGGAATAACGAGGCACTCAGCACAGGGGCACCAGCTTTACACAGTGAGGAGAAACTCGGATCCACCAAAGGGATACTCAAAACCTGATCTCTTCCCAGAGGCTTAATGGATTAAGTAACAGGGTCTCACCCACACCACCTTCCCTGAGACTTATATGGAAATCCGTGGTGAATGGTGAAACCAAAGAGAAGTCTTAGCATTTACTGAGGTCAGCAATATGGTGCAGGAAACTGAGCACAGGAGGAAGGGGTATGGTTCGAAGGAAGAGAAAATGTTGGAAGAAAGAAATTACTGTCCACTAATTTTCAAGGGAAAATTAGTGGATAGTATTTTCCCCCAAGGAGGACCCCTGGCAGCTGCACCCAGGGACTAAGCATGACTTCCTTGCGGAGCTCACTAGGGGCTGAGCCGGAAGGCAGAGGAAAGAGAAACCCAGAGGGATTAGGGGTGGGGGCTGGGAAAAGATTGTGGTTAAAAGGGGGCTTTAGTAAAGGTAGGGAAGGGAGAGCCAGAGGGATGGAGAGTAATATTTCCCAAACTTCATGAGCACAGTAGGAGAGTGAGTGAAGGGAAGAGGAGAGAAGGTGGAGGCCCCTAAGAATTCACACCCTGTGCCCTCAGTTACAAACACAGTCTAGTTGCTAACAATATTAAATTCCAAAATGACTTGTAATGTAGGAAAATAAAATAAACATCCTGCACACTTACCCAATCCGGGTAAACAGCTTCCCATGGGCATGGAGAAAACTGAGGATGAACCTTTTGTTCAGCTGCATGGGAAAAAAAGAGAGGAGAAAACAATTAAACTTTCCCCAGTTTCCTGTTACTGAACAGAGTCCCTAGTGACACAATAACCTGGCCAGGGTCTAAGGGGTGGGCACTAGGGATGGGAACCAAATGAACATGCCCAAACTCTCACACAGACCCAGGGCCCATGCCCAACAGCTGCTGCTCAGCTGAGCCAAGATGACAGCAGGCTCGGTGAACGGACAGCACCCCCTGCTGGCAGTAGTGTCTGTGTGCAGGGAGCGAAGCACTGAATTCCAACTAAGCTGGGTAGATGGCTGTCACCCTCTGCCATCTAGAAGTCACTCTGTCCCCATAACGACGGAAATGAAACACTGACAAGTACAGGACTGGGATGATGATGATCTTGGATAAGTCCCTTCTCCTTCTTACGAGTTGTTTTTCTACCTACCCAAAAAACAGAACTCTTCTTTGGTAACCAAGGGTAAGGTAATCCCACCACTAACTAGCTTATCAAATTGTACTTCTCCAGCTTTGAAAATAAAAGTTCAAACCTTTCCTTTTTTTTTTTTTTTCTTTTATTTGAAAGAAAAACTGAAAGCTGGGGTTATGTGAAATCCTCTGGCTTTTAAATGTTGGCTACTAAAGAAAAAAATTTAAACATTAGGCAAGCCAAAAGCACACGTTTGCCAGCCACATCTGGCTCACACAGCCATGAGCTGCCGAATTTTCAATCTCAGTTCAAGGTTCTAGAAAATCTACTTCTATCAAAATTTAGGGGATACATTCCTCTAAGCAAAACAAGGCAGGGAAAAAAAATTCAACTCCAAAGAAAGTGGAAATAATCTAAAGACCAAACCCTGTCATCTTCCCTGGTCTCCTGGAAGCAATATGCTCAGGGCCCTGTAGCCTGACAGGGAAGACGGATAAAGGATTTTGATCTCAAGGTGGTGGTTAGGGCAAGGAACAGTCCAGCATCCTGGATGCTCTGCCCAAGAGGAAAATACTCTTCTGGTTTATACCCTTGCAAAACAGAAAACCAGTCAAATTGTGGCAGTTCCACCAATTTCACAAGGAAGCTGGGTGTGAGGAAAGGAGGGCATTCTCGCCTCCCCGATGACTTCAACCACAAACTGCAAACAATCTTCAGTCTTTATATTTGCTTCAACAAATTACACTTAATCAGCAATACCAGACAAAACTCTGATTTCTGTAGTTAAAAAGGATACTTCATGGAATGTAACCTGTCTCTACAGTGAGGTGAGTCAGGGCAGGGGACACTGGGTTCCATGAACAGAAGGGAAAGATGAGGACCTGCCACAAAATAAATGGCCGAGGGCTCCGCCACTGTTAGTGGCAAGGCCTGGGCTAGAATGCAAAGGAAGGTGGTGAAAAACTTACCCCTCAAACCTCTGCCACTTACCTGCTGTGGGGTCTCAGGCAACTGATCTAACCTCCCAAAGTTTTTCTTTCTACGCAGTGGAGATAACAGTACCCATACATTAAGGGACTGGTGCATGAGATAAGGCAACTAAAAGCACATACTCGGCATCTGTAAACACTCAAGTGTCAGCTGAACATTCTCTCCCAATGAATGGTAGAGTGAGGGGTAAAATGTTAACAACTGGAGAATCCAGGTGAAGGATATACAAGAGTTCCCTGTATTATTCTTGCAACTTTTCTATGGGTATAAAATTATTTCAAAATAAAAAGGTAAAAATATATATTCTCTCTCTATTCTTGTTTTAACTCAACTGTCCCTTTTTCCAGCTGCCAATCATAAACCGGTTAACTCATCCGTAACTGGTTCTATTTATACATACAGGATACTTTGGTAGAAACAGAACGATATTAACCCATCTCGTTCAAGCCAATTACTATCCCCCAAGCCGCAAGACAGCTCAGAAATTCAAGCAACTTAAACCAGTGGATGACAGAACTTGAACCCAGGTCTCCGATTCCAAAACAGTTCTCCTCCCCTTAAACTGCCATCTATCTCAGGAAGAGAACAGGTGAGCTTATTCATGAAGGGCCAATGAGGGGGGAAGAGCAACTAAAAAGAGCAGTTCAGTTTTACCTTTAAGTTTTCCCTACCCATTAGGTAGGAAACAGTGTGTAACTCACAATGCCTCCTGGAACAAAATGAGTGCACCAGGAGGTTTTTTAATGCTGGCGTTCTAGCTATACTTCCCAAAGATCCTTCTCTTAGGGTAGTAGATGAGGCCTACTTAATTACCTGACTTCACACCTGCCATTATCATATTTTAACTATATCTAGTAGACAGTGGATTTCAGTGCATTGTTTTTCAACTAGTGATAGTGAAGGGAATCTTAGCAAACTTTGTCAAACTATACACACATTCTCTCTGACCTTGGTTAATGAGAACCACTGCTTTATTTTTAGTCTGAAAGTACCTGTTACCCTAAATATAGTTTCTCTTTATCTGTCACCAACATTTTGAGTAGGAAAGGAGCTAAAATGTAGATACATTCTAGAGAGAGGTAAAGCATGTTATACTGAGGAAGTAGATTTGTTACACATTGATCAAAATGGGACTAAGCACTATCGTAAATTAATAACACGAAGTCAGCAAGTGCTGAGGCAGAGCTTTTGGAAAACCTAACTGATACCAAGCCCACAAAAGGAAGGTCTTAGCCTGAGCTTCCTCCCTCTCCAACACATCACCATGGATTGTACCAAGTCCACAAAAGGAAGGTCTTAGCCTGAGCTTCCTCCCTCTCCAACACATCACCATGGATTGGCTCCATGTTTGGAGCTTTTTGATTCTCAACAATACACTCAGATGGTCTCACTCAGGTAGAGAAAGAACTGTTTTTCCGCATATGGTGAGACTATCTGTCTCCAGATCGTCCTCGTGCAATTACATACTGTTCACCAGAAACTAAAAATGCTTCTTGGGTGTAGCCCTAAGAGACAGTGTTAGAATTATTAAAGGGCTCCTGGCTCTCTGGTTTAAGTCCATAGCCGACTCACAAGGGACTCTTGGGCCTTTTGTACCATCTAAAAGCAAGGACCCAAAGAGACACTAATGGCAATAGTTGCATGGGTAGGTCTCTGGACACTCACAACAAAGTCTGTCCTTCCATTAACTATGGGGTTATGAGTAAAATGGTTTGGGTTGTTCCTCAACTGTAAAATGGAATTTCTACCACTGACGGTACCTAACTCAGAGCTGAAAGGATAAAACGAAGTCATACAAATTACAGCATTTTGAGGAATAAATGTCTTATGCAAGCCCCGGTTATTACTACTCAGAACTGCCTAAGTGCTTTATGGACTGTGTAGCAAGGAAAGAGAAAGCAGCTCCTCAGAGGCAGCAAGACATCACCAGAGGAGAGGATTCTGAAATATGCCCAATTTTAATTCTTAATAGTTGTTCCTGCTTCTAAAAAGTTGTGTGGAAAACTGAATTTCTGAAAAGTGAAGCATTTTAAGGACGGTAGGAGGAATTAAGAGGAATTCCTCAGTATTAAGAGGACTTCCGGCATGCGTCTTTAAAGCGTTTTGGGGAACAAACTATCATTCTCTAATTTATTCATCTGGGATGTCTCTACTTTTATATACCAAGTACTAAAAAAAAAAAAAAAAAACTTTGTTGTGTTTTAAAAGGGGGCTCTATCCCCTTAGATATGAGACAACATAGGTGAAGACCAAATTTCAATGGTACCTGTTAGAAAATGTCCAGGACTTTCAGAGCCTGCCATCAAAGCCCAGTTATCTCCCTAAAGCACTGAGATCACAGGTGGAAAAGAATGTGAGCACAGAGGTGAAGCTGCCCACCTTCATCCCTGTGCTCCCCGGACAGGCACAATCAAGAGCAGACCAACAAGACAGGGTCCCCAGAGCCAAAGAACTTGTAGCCCGAGAATAAAAGATAAATAACACACCAACGTGCCAACTCCCCATTTATGTTCCAAAACCTAAGACAAGGCCTTCTGACTATGAAGGTGCCAGGAGGGACTGTGCTTCCCTTACTGTCACTATCCCTCAGCCAGGAAAAGTCTGTGGCAGGGAGATCTAAGGAGATGATAGGGAAAGTGAGGAAGGAGGGCCCGGCACACAAAACATGGAAGCCTTCCGGTTAAGTCAGCAGTATAATCCTCATATAGCAGGAATAAAAACTGCTCATTAGAACTTTCAGTATTCCTCTTTCCAGGATATAGATAAATAAAAATGCACAGGCAAGTCAAGTAGCAAGACTCAAATGCCTTGTAGGGAGACAAAGCAAATCACAAAAATCCATCTTCGAATCCCAAAGAGCCACACTGAGGCTGCGGTAGAGCAGGTACGGTGATTACTCTTCACCTTCAGTTTCTTCACCCCTGAACTGTTCTGGGCAGGACGACAGCTCAATTAGCTCTAATTAAGCCCAAGTTCCATGCAGAGCTGTCCTACTTAGATGGCTGGATCTGAGCCATGTGAATTCAAGTGTAAAATGTGCCTCTTAAAACCAATGCACCCCTTGAAACAACAGCTCTCACTCTCACACTGCAGCTTAGTGCTGCCTCAACAAAGTCTTACATTAAAGCAATTTACTTGCTATTACTTCATTATCTCTCCTACTTAAAGCCAGCAAACTGGAGGGAAATTGGGCTAAATGTCAAATCACCAGTCAGCTCCGGAAAACCCAGCCAGCAAGCAGAGGGACAGCTGAGCTTAGAGTACCGGGCTGGCTCTCAGGAGGAAAACTGGCACTAGGTCTAAAGAAAAGAAAGAACCACGAATTTGTGACTATTCTGTATTTATCGCTCCTTTGTTTACTGTGGGGGAGGGAGTAGTACGGAATAATATGAACAAAGACCACTGATCTGGGTTCAAGACCTGGGTTCAAATTTTGGTTATGCCATTTATTTTCTATATAACTATCGACAAATCACGTCAACTTTCTAAGGCTGTTTCTTCAACTATAAAACAAGAAGGCAGGGTGAGATCAATATCGGTGATTCCATAACCCTGAGTGTGTATGCATCACAAGAAGAGCGTCTGTAAAAAATATAGATG